TTAGCTCCAAGAAACGGTATTGCTAGGGTTAGAATAACCCTAGCAATGTATATTAACGTTAGTCCCACAGCCTGGTCGTGGTACAGGGTTATGGAGCAACCGATAGCGCAAATACATTTTCCTACATGACTATATGGCGGCACCCGACTCCGAACCCTCTACCGCGCCCGCCTGTACTGTCTGTACTGGGCGCATTTCATACAGCTGTTAACCCCTCCCCCGCTAAGGTATACCAGCTGAAATAAATTTGTAACAGTGCACGGTAGTTGCCACAAATGTCCCGGGTTGTAGGGGTACACTACTGCCCATGCAGCAACCACTCGCACTGCTACGATTAATGAAAACATGACTCGCTCATACAAAGAGCAAAACTACACAACTCCAGTCCAGGTAAATATAGTATACGGAAGCATGACATAAGTGACCACGTTTTAGTTTAATACTTCAATCTAAGGACCATTTAAGTTTAATACCGCAAGCTAAAGCTAGCCTAAGTGACCACGTTTTAGTTTAATACTTTAATCTAAGGACCATTTAAGTTTAATACCGCAAGCTAAAGCTAGCATAAGTGACCACGTTTTAGTTTAATACTTCAATCTAAGAACCATTTAAGTTTAANCCTATCTGGGAAGAATATTCTGCACAGACACTGAAATGTACTCGTGATGTTTTTGTTTTTATAGGAAAAGCAAACCAAGGTGAACTAAAGAATAAGAGTTGTAGACCTTAAAGATTCACTTCGCGAATTGGGGTTACCCGTTTCAGGTATGCCATAATTATATTGTAACATAATTAACATCAACAATATGTGCTAGAAACCTAATTATTCGTATAGTTGCGGTTGAAATCGCACTCTTGTTGTTGTCGCACTTTCTTGTCATTTTGCCGGCTACCGTTATGACAAATTATGTGTTAACGAAACATTGAATATTTGTGATGTTCTTGTATTCGCGCGCATTTACTTTAGTATATGAAATTATCATTCACGAGTTGAACTGCCCACGTAAATTATAGTGATTGGTTCCGTCAACGAAAGTAAATTACCGTGAAGTATGAGATTTGTTTCGAATAGAGTAAATAATACATTATTAATTACAAAATTGAAAAAAAATTGCTTTAATCTTTGAAACGTTTTTACTACGTTTATATCAGAGCGTAATCCAAATCCTAGTGTGTGGATACATTTGATTGACATAGTAATTTCTCTTCTAGGGTTGAAGGAAGATTTGGTCACCAGATTACATGCTTACTATCGAGAAGAGGTGAGTTATGAGAACAGACCACTATTAAATCTTCCATAGGATCTTATACTTAAAAATTGAATTTTAGGAGCTGAAAAATAGTATTTTGACCGTTTTCAGCCAAGTGGCAATATTAAAGCTAGGTAACCATGTACTTCAGCTTTGCACCATGAGAGTTATGTCATATGTTGTCCAGCGTTTTAAAAAATATCGCGAATTTACTAAACGACACCACATTTGTGCCTGAAAAACAGTCGCGCAGTCGAATGGGGGCCATACATTGAAAGAATTCGTTTTAAATTACAAGTAACCATCCACCCATCTCCATGTCATGTCATTGCCACACACGTTAGCCAGCCTAACTAGGACAACCACAAAATACCGCATCAACTTTAGTACACGAGCTGCGGGGACTCCGATTGGTCGGCCGATGACGCGTCACATCCTTTAACCTAACAGGGTAATAAACCGGTAGTGATTTATAAGTGGTCACGTGTCTGTATAGAAACTTTTTTCCCGGAATCTGTCAAACGCAATAAAATACGTTCCGACAAACACCGCTTCACACGCGTGCAAAATGTTGGTTTAATTCGCTGTTCGGTTTTTGAGTTTTATTCAAATATGACCTCTCCTTTATACAAGTCGTCTGTGAAAACGGGAGGTTTGCTACACAGCATAGTGTGTATATAGTGTGTTAGCTCCAAGAAACGGTATTGTTAGGGTTAGAATACCCCTAGCAATGTAAATTGACGTTAGTCACACAGCCTGGTCGGGTTAATAGTGTGTATAATACATGGTTATGGGGCAAACGATGGCGCAAATACACTTTCCTACCGGACAATATGGCGGGACCCGACTCCGAACACCCTACAGCACCCGCTTGTACTGTCTGTCTTAGCGCATTTTATACAGCTGTTACCCCCCCCCCGCTAAGGTATACCAGCTGAAATAAATTTGTAACAGTGCACGGTAGTTGCCACAAATGTCCCGGGTTTGGGGTACACTACTGCCCAGCCAACATTTAAGCAACAACCCACACTGCTACGATTAATAAAAACATGACTCGCTCATACTGTAGTGGCCTTAGAGGTAGCCAACTACGGTATGACAGGCGTTATATAGTTAACGTGTGTTTAGTTGTGTGGATTCAGTGTTCGCTCCTTGCGAAGGCAGGACGGTGATGCCGCAGCGTATAACAGGTGGTACCAGTGGAACAGAACACAGTTAGATTTGGTTAACTGTACGGTTATAGTTTTATTGTTTCTTACTAGCTTACAAATGATTCCCTGCATTTGTATATGCAGGAGCCTATAACCACCAGACTAAGATAAGAATTAACGCGTCGCCGGCTTTGTCTTCCCCTCTCCCGTTCGTCCTTTCTTCGCGTAGACCTAGGTAGGCTCCACGGGTTCTCCCTCGTAGTCGCTCTTGGCTCTACCTACCTGAAATCCTGTTCTTCTCCTTCTTCCCCGTTTTATTCCCTGTACCCGTAGTTCTACCTACCTGAAAACCCGTGCTCCTATTCCCTCTGCTATCTCCCTCCCCGAGACCTAAAATGCTTTCTTCATCTTTCTCTTCTTCTTCTTCTTCTTCTTCTTCTTCTTTCTACCTGGCCTGAAAAATAACGCTCTCGTGATTGGTTCGGCGCGCCTTATATATACCTAGCTGGCCACGCCCCCTTACGTGCCGTTGTTTAGCACGCGTCGTCAAAGCACTACCCCCTCACGCAGATTCCGTGGCTGGTACGATTATTGCACCATCTGACGCAACTCGTTTCTAAGTAAATATTCCTCTCTTCGACAACTTATAGACTATTAGACTATTCATTCTAATCAAATCTCCTCGTATATTATGCTGATTAATAGTACATAAATGCGTTGATTATTATACTCTATATATATTTCGCGTTATCGCTTTCGAGTATACACTCCTTGTTTTCCCTAGACCCCTTCCGTATGATCCAAGATGGCTGCGCCCAGGTGTTGATCGTTTTCTATGTGCTGTCTATATTCTATCCTCTCTTTAGTCAATATATGGTTATTCTATCTATACTGCGAGTTTAATCTATCCATCCTGATCTAGGCTGCTGCTCATGTGAGTTACACACCCCAAAATCTCCACAATACGAAGAGCACAAACTACACAACTCCAGTCCAGGTAAATAAGTATACGAAGCATGACATAAGTGACCGCGTTTTAGTTTAATACTTCAATCTAAGGATAATTTAAGTTTAATACCGCAAGCTAAAGCTAGCATAAGTGACCACGTTTTAGTTTAATACTTCAATCTAAGACCATTTAAGTTTAATACCGCAAGACTAAGCTCGCATAAGTGACCACGTTTTAGTTATAATACTTCAATCTAAGAGCCATTTAAGTTTAATACCGCAAGCTAAAGCTAGGAAACATCGAATCATTAGAGAGTGTAACAAATTCTTTACCTCGATCACTTATAAATGTTGTGCGTGCCACCTAGCGACTGGACGAATACATTCTGCACAGACACCTGAAATGTATGGGGCGATGCTGTTTTTGTCATTACATGCTTATTATCGAGAACAGTGCGATTATGAGAAGGCAAGACCAACTATTAATCCTCTATAGAATCGCTATAGGCTTAAAGAATTGAATTTCAAGAGCTGAAAAAATAGTATTTCGTACCGATTTTCGGGCCAAGTGGCAATATAAAGCTTGAGGTAGCCATGTACTTCAGCTTGTGCACTACATGAGAGTTATGACATATGTTGTCCAGCATTTTTTTTAAAATAATACGCAATTTACTAACCGACACCACATTTGTGCCTGATAAAACAGTCGCCGCAGTCGAATGGGGCGCGTACATTGAAAGAATTCGTTTTAAACTACCTTGTTTTCCCTAGACCCCTTCCGTATGATCCAAGATGGCTGCGCCCAGGTGTTGATCGTTTTCTATGTGCTGTCTATATTTCATCCTCTCTTTAGTCAATATATGGTTATTCTATCTATACTCCGAGTTCAATCTATCCATTCTGATCTAGGCTGCTGCTCATGTGAGTTACACACCCCAGATATCTCCACAATACCAAGAGCAATACTACACAACTCCAGTCCAGGTAAATATAGTATACGGAAGCATGACATAAGACTCGCAGCTAGGGCCTGCATACCTCCCAAATCGCATTGGTTGATACAAATCACGTGCCTCAACTGCCTCAATGACGTCACAGTGTTGTCATATTTATGGCACATCCATAATCTATAAACCCAATAAGCCTCAATAGCCGAACGGGTACAGCGCAGGCGTCGCGGCTGAAAGGTTTTTGGATTGAATCCCATCCGTTTTTTTATTATTTTTCCTGTTTTCTGTATTTTTCTATCTTTATCCATTTAACAATTTTTTTCCCAAATAACGCAAATATTTACATGATTTATTTACAACAATTTAATAACAACAAATAATTTTTACAATTTAATTTATTTTTATTTTTTTAATTAAATTTTAATTAGGTTAGGGTTAGGGTTAGGGTTCGGGTTAGGGTTAGGGTTAGGGTCACAATGCACTATAAAACAGGAGTTTCAGTCACGTGATTTGTATCAACCAATGGGATTTGAGAGGTATGCAGGCCCTAGCTGCGAGTTGACATAAGTGACCACGTTTTAGTTTAATACTTCAATCTAAGGACCATTTAAGTGTAATACCGCAAGCTAAAGCTCGCATAAGTGACCACGTTTAATTTAATACTTTAATCTAAGGACCATTTAAGTGTAATACCGCAAGATAAAGCTCGCATAAGTGACAACGTTTTAGTTTAATACTTCTATCTAAGGACCATTTAAGTTTAATACCGCAAGCTAAATCTAGCATAAGTGACCACGTTTTAGTTTAATACTTCAATCTAAAGCCCATTTAAGTTTAATACCGCAAGCAAAAACTAGCACAATTAAGTGACCACGTTTTAGTTTAATACTTAAATCTGAGGACCATTTAAGTTTAATAGCGCAAGCTAAAGCTAGAAACATCGAATCATTTAGAGAGTTAACAAATTCTTTTCCTCGATCACTTGTAATTTTTTGTGGTCCACCAAACTGGAAGAATATTCTGCACAAACAATGAAATGTACTCGATGCTGTTTTGTCTTTAATAGGAAAAGCGAACCAATGATGAACTAAAGAAATTGAGTGTTGTAGACCTTAAAGATGAACTTCGCGAATTGGGGTTATCCGTTTCAGGTATGCCATAATTATATTGTAACATAATTAACATCAACAATATGTGTAGAATACCTAATTATTCGTATAGTTGCGGTTGAAATCGCACTCTTGTTGTTGTCACACTTTCTTGTCATTTTGCCGGCTACCTTTATGACAAATTATGTGGAGAGATGCCTTAGATTGAAGTATTAAACTAAAAACGTGGTCATATGTCAACTCGCAGCTAGGGCCTGCAACCCTCCCAAATCCCATTGGTTGATACAACTCACGTGACTGAAAACTCCTGTTTATATGTGCATTGTGACCCTAACACTAACCCTAACCTAAATTAAAAATTAATTAAAAAAAAAATTAATTGTAAAAATTAATTGTAAAAATTCTTTGTTTGTTATTAAATTGTTGTAAATAAAATCATGTAAATATTTGCGTTAATTGGGAAAAAATAGTTAAAATGGATAAGATAGAAAAATACAGAAAACAGAAAAATAATTAAAAAACGGATGGGATTCGATCCAAAAACGTTTCAGCCGTGACGCCCGCGCTGTACCCGTTCGTTGTTGAGGCTTATTGGTTTATAGAATGGATGTGCCATAAATATGACAACACTGTGACGTCATTGAGGCAGTTGAGGCACCAGTGATTTGTATCAAACCAATTAGATTTGGGAGGTATGCAGGCCCTAGCTGCGAGTCTTATGTCATGTACCGTATACTATATTTACCTTGACTGGAGTTGTGTAGGATTGCTTTTTGTATTGCGGAGATTTCGGGGGTGTGTAACTCACATGAGCAGTAGCCTAGATCAGGATGGATAGATTGAACTCGCAAGTA